GAGAGAGAGAGAGAGAGAAAGAGAAAGGCACTTCCGCGATCCGAACAAATTCGAATTTCTTCTCTCGGATTAGTTTTTCGAGCGAACCACTCGAAATTCCGTCATTCTTATCCATCATCTCTCGATTTATAAATCGACGTCCTAGATTTTTCTTCCTTTTCCTCTCTTTTTCTTTTTTGTCTTTCACGAGGCGCAATTATATTCTATCCCCGGTTCATAATGAAAACGGAGACAATGCGAATACCGTTGTTACCACGTAGCGATTATCGTTTCATCTATCGTTCAACCTTGCCAACTCTGCCTACGCGAGTCGGTCGGGTGACGGAAACACTGGTCGTTCATAGAAAATATGGAAAATACTCTCGGGTTGTTAGCTAGCTAGCTTATCCTTTCTAACCTTATTATACTTCGTCGCTTATTGGCAAGTAAGCGGGATTAATTCTGGAAAGAGTTTATTCGAACACGAGTAATGAAGAGATTTATACCATCAGTATATATCGTGTCATAAAGGAAAAAAAAAAAAAAAAAAGAACACGTTTTATCGAGAATATCCGTTTCAAATTGGAGGAGTTTAAGAGAATGAAATTACGAGGGAAGAGAATATGGTCTTACCGGTGTATCCAGTGGCGCAGGTGCACACGTATTCGTGGAGAGACTTCAAATTGCAAGTGGCGCCGTTCAGGCACGGGGACGAGTCGCACGCGTTCTCGAGCGGGATCTCGCAGAGGCTCGCTGTAAATCCGACGGGGCAGGAACAGGCGAACGATGGCGTACCACCCCCGATGCTTTCCTTCACCCTGCACGAGCCACCGTTCTGGCACCGTGGGCCCGTGTGGCAGGGGTTTAGATGCTGGCAGTACTCCCCCACGAATTTCGACGTGCATCTGTAACGAGGTAAGAAAAACGTGCGAGTGAGTAAGCGAATTCGTGAGGAAAGAAATAACCCCCATATATTTTTTACATTGCCCTCTTATATTTTTATATTTAAGTAACAGTGATTCCTTTTTGCGTTGGTTTAACCGTTTTCTCAGAAGCGGACGATGTGTATATAGATTATTAAGTTAGACGTATCTTCGATCACAATTTTCAGATATTTGGATGGAATGAAGTGAGAAACAGAAGTTTATACGATCGAGAAAAATAAGGAATAATTCAGTATTCTAATCTTGTCGAGAAATCGACATCAGAAATTGCACGGACCTGTTCTCTTGCAAGGCTCGAATCGAAATATGTGAAACCTTAACCCATCCATTATATTTCACCAATCGATCATCACTTGTTTAAAAGATAAAATATTCGACGCTCGAGAAGCTGTGATCGATTGGACTTGGTCATTGGAAAAAGTTAGTCACTTTCGAATATGTACCGTTTTCCTTCAGAACCACCACAAGAAAAACCTAATAGGAGAAAAATTTTCTTGATTTTTCATCGTCGTTCAAACTTTTCGAAAGACGAGAAACAAACGGGTCATCAAAAAAAACTTTCCCTCCCTTTCTTTTTTCACAACTTTGGTGGAAAAAAGACTTCTTTTTACGTCCAAGTCTGCAGTCTCACCCTCTAATGCGAAATGGAATGCGATTGCGGTCGAGGGTTCCACGAAAGGCCCGGAAAGCGGAAGGGTTTGCGGCCAATACGTATCATTACAGGGCGCGTATCTAATATTCGCGATTCGTTCAAAACCTCCTCCCCCAGACATTCATTCAGAGAAAAATCCATTCAGGTTTCGCGAATCGACCCTCTTCTCTCCCTAATTAAACCTCTCCTTTGTCGCCCCGCGCGATGATCGCTCGCTTCCGTCCAACTAGCAGCGCGTGTCCTATAAAATGGCCCTCGAAACGCGACTCCAGGCAAACCGCAAAATGGTTTCGAGCAAAAAGATTTCTCATCAGGAGGACTCATCAGCTTGGTCCACGATCCGAAAAGGGAACGTCGTCGAGAGACCATCTACCACCAACAATCCTTTGTTCCAAACAGCTTCTAACGGTTTTCAACGATTCAGAGGCGCCCTCTCGATGGATCATTCTCGATAGAAAGAGGTAGTCTCTCCTTAAAGATAACTCGTTCGATCGTTGTTAATCGATTTCTCTTCCACGTTTCACCGATCGAATATTTCCTACGGTGGACAAATTGGAGGGGAATGACTCGTTCGAGTGCGTCGTCGAAATCGTCGAAGTTCTCGTGGAATTCGCCTCGCTCAAGTGGATCCGGTCGGTGGAGAAACCTCGATCGATTTGCAAATCGATCGACAGCGATTTTTACGTCACGCCTAATCGATCCTTTCCACTCGTATTTTTCTGATATAATATGTTACGAGTTAAATTTTATCCCTTGAAAATCTATATTGCACGTGTATCTTATTATAATCTGTATTTCGATTTTTCGAAATTTTATTTATAGACATTTAGGCAGAGATTAGAAGAAAACATCGTAACAAGAGAGCCCATTAGAAACTAATATAATAGTAACTATAGCGAGCAGATACGAGTGTAAACGAGGGTTAACGAACGATCGACGCCATAATCGTTCGTACGGATCGCCTCCGGAGAGGATTCCACCTCCGCGAAATTCCATCTTTATCCGTTTTAGCCGCGCGAGGAGGCACCTTCTCCAAGTCGAATAAGCTACGAGTAAAAATGCGAGTGAAGGAGAGTTTAAAAGACAAGAACGTATCGGTGTCCATTGTTGAGCGCGCAGCTGGTTCCGCGGCTCGTTGCTTCACGCAGCTCTCGTCGTTGCTTCTTCTTCTTCTTCTTCTTCTGTCTGGGGATTCTATCTCGTGTGTGTACGCTTAGAAGGCCGCAGCCGGTATCTCTATAAACGGAAGCGACGATTCCACGGCCATTACTCGCCGGCACCGAGTTTCTTCTATGGACTGCCGGCCCCGCGTTCACCACCATCGCTTCGATTTATTGACTTCTATCCGTGAATATTCCCTTCTAAGCCGACGTAACGAACCCACCGTGGTGCCACCAAAGGAAACTCCCTCCCTTTTTCCTCCTGCTGGACGTATCATTTCAGAGAAAGAGAGTTCGATCGCTTCGTTCTTCGTTTCGAGGTTGCGGGCACACGCGTGTCGATCGTTTTCAAGTTCCGTTGTTGCGCGATATTTTATGCGACGTTCTATTACAGCGACAGGCTGTAATCGCATCGCACGATCGCGTCCACGCAGATATCGTGTCAAGTACGCTGTAATTATACTATATATCGCTCTATGGAAACGGGCGGTAATTTTATTAACGAATGTGGGACAGGCAACGTGCCCACATGATTTGACGACACGCTTCTTCCGCTCCTTCTCTCTTTTTTCTTCCTCGCGCCGAATTGTCATCCCCTCCTCCTCCACATTCGACGCGGATGGGAGAAAAGAAGAAAAAAGATGGGAAATCGAGACGAGATCGAGACGAGTGGAAGCTCGCGTGTGTATTCATCTTGCACGCGAATATGATTGCACGAAAGAGTGTACGCGCAGCGTGTATCAATCAGGGGCTTCACGGGCAGTAAAGTTCCGTCCGGTAGCATCATCGTTCCGCTTTGTTGCCTCTCTCTCGCGTTGGGGGAGGGGGGAGCGAACGTTGTTCTTGAAAGAAGATGAAACGGAGCCACTTTATGGTTGACCGTTCCCTCCGGTAATGGGCAACGTCGAGGCGGCACCGCGACACGCCGCCAACATTTATTCGCCGCCCGACGTGCGTATCAATCGCCATCTACCAGCGCACGCCCCTTAAATTTCGTCTTATCGCCCGCCGACGATCGAAAAAATCTTCCACGAGGCGAAAACAGGTAGGAAGCGAATCGTTTCCAACGAATATCGTTCGAGGAAATATAATTTTGGATACGCTTCTCCCGATCCTTTGAACGGACAGTGTCAATTATTACGGATGGAATAAAGTTTTTAATGAAATGATACCATCAAAACGTCCAACTTTCATCGATGGAATTAAATTTTCAACGAAATAATAGAAACTGCAAATATTCCATAAAACGACACCTCCAATTAACCAAAATCCCTGCATACGTAATCACGGAAGAAAATCCAATCGAACTTTCATCGAATAACGCGTTTCTCCGGATTGCAAATCGGTTGCTTAAACACGTTTTCATCCGATCCAATAAGACCGAGAGAGAAGAGGAGAAGGAGGAAAGAAAATCCACTGCAAAAAGGAATTAATTCGAAGGATGTACCGCGATGCCAGGTGTTCTTCTTCCCGCCACCGTTTCTATACGCGGCGGCCCATAAGGATCGATCCAGAAGAGAATGGAAGAAAACGGAAAGACGACTCGTAGTTGCGGCGAGGATCAGGACTCGAGGTCTGTAAACAGCGGGCCGGAATGCGGTGGATCCGTGCGACGACAACGAGGAAACACTGAATTATGCCGGGTCGGTGGCCAGATCGATTCCGCAAAAATGAGAGGAGGGGGCATAATACACGGAGCAAGAAGGTGGATTCATCGGGTGGGGGATTCTGGTTCCGATGATTTGTGTCGGTCGGATATTTCCAGGTTTCGCGGGCAAAAATAGAGGCGAGGCGATGTACACGCTGCAAGAAATTGAGACACGCGCGAGGGAACAACACTTGCCTGTTTCCATTTTTTTCCCTTTTATATTTTGCGCGAAATGGCAAGGTGAGCGATAATCTAAAAAAGACACGCGAAGGAATGTTATTCTCGTGGTGAAATTTTTTTTAATACAGGAGAATCCTTGTTCCTCGAATCTCTTAAAAAGTTGTAAACCCGAAATGAATCGTTTCTTGTAAAATCGTCCATCCACCACGATACGTTGATCCCCCTTTCATCCATTCTTCGCATAACGTTCCGGAGAATTTTCGGCAAGAATCGCGACGAATTCTTCCACAAGGGATTTTTACGATTGACAATAAAGTCATAAAGCTCGCCGAATTTTCGCTATCCCTCGCCAGAAAGAAAGAGTTGTCTGGCCAACCAACATTTTTACGATACCCATTCTCACGAAGCAACGCGATACAAACAATTAGCAATTAGCGGGATAGGATTCACGTGGCTTGTTGGCGAATCATCGTCGATGTATCGTGCAATTTCAATCATGATGGTTCGTTACGAGGCAATGCTCGCTCCTTGATAAATCGATCGGCATACGAGATCTCGATCTCGAATCGAAGGATGCCTCCACCTTCGAGTATCGCTCGATCAACTCGCATTTCCATGCAAATTGCTCCCAACTAATCCCGCTACTGGCGGATGATCGTCGGATCGTTGCTTTATCTTTTTATAGATATAGAACTCGATATACGATACGAGATAAGATGGTGGAACGTCGTGCATTCAGCAAGGTTTGGAACGTTGTTATTTTTAGAAAATAAAGTGAAACGAACGTGAAAAAAAAAAGAACGAAAACGAGGAAATTGTAGGTGATTTTGCTCGGTTACGATATAAAGAAAGGAAAAAAGAAATGGATCGAGATAGAAAAGAGAGAGAGAGGTAAATGCGAGAAAAGGAAAAAATTTAAACGAGAGAAATATATAATTTCGCGTAATAATAATTGTGCAACGTTGAAAGAGACGCGCGCAGAGAGTTTTGAGCGACTCGCCCAGCGACTCGCCAGTTAATTGCGAGGGTCTTCGGTTACAAAACTGTTTAAACTGTTTTCTGCGGTGTGCGTTTAGGGTTTCACCAAGCCTTGTTAAACACACGCGGTGTTTACAGAGCGCTAAAACGTTAAACTAATCGTGGAACGTGTAACGATAGAGCTTTCGAAACGATACGGATACGAATAAAAGTAAAATC